ACATCTAGTGTAGTGGCTCCAATTATTATGCATATTATTTATATTAGGTCTAATATAGTGGTTCCAAATGCTATGTATATTAGTTAGATTAGCCCTAATACTGTATATATCTGGTTCGCTGCCATGGTTTGATGATGGATAGCATCATGAAAGTTATAAGTTATAAATATCTGAGCTTTTTGCTGTTTCGAGCTTTCAATACTACGGTTAGCCATCTAGTTACTGGGGTTAGAGGATCAAAACCCTAAAAGTGAAAAAAAGCTATAAATAAATAAATAGAAAAGTGTTAGGTTCTTGTGGGGTTTTTCGGGCTATAGAGCCATGTTCTAGAGGCATTTCTCCTGACGTTTCGCCTGCATCTATGGCAAGCATCCTCAGAGCTAGTGAGGTAGAAAAGTGTTAATTTTTATATGAGAACATCTTCTAGGGTCAGATTTCACTTGCACTGAAAGACAAAGATTCCTGGATCTTATTCATCAAATCTGCAAGTGTGAAGGGCTACCTATGTAGATATAGATCTATTTCTGAGCAGGGCTCTTGAAAAGTCTCATAAGATCATCCTAAGTTGAAGCTGACTTGATGTCAAAATAGAACAAAACTCAGAATTTTCCTCCAACACCCCAGTTCAAAAGTGTCTATCTTCCTTCGCTCAGCCTTCCTTATGGTCCAGCTCTCACATCCATGGACTGCTACGGGGAATACTATTGCTTTAAGAAGCAATAAGGAGGACTAAAGAATTCAGAAGGACCAAATCTTCTCAAGTCCTAGTTTGCTGAACAAGGACTTAACTGTGCTTTGAAAGTTATTCATTTGGAACAAACCTATCTAGAGAGAGATTTCAGTTCCTAAGGAAGTTTTCTTTCATCTGAATAAAAAAAAGCATGCTTCATTTCTTCAAAAGGGGGAACAATTCTTTGGAAAAGATTTTGGTCTCCTTGCTCAACTTCATTTGAAAAATTCTCCAGATCAAAGTTTTAATGTAGACACAAAGTAAGTGGGACACAGCAATGTCTGAGAACAAAGACACAGCACACAAAAGATAACCAGTTGAGATAAGAAAAACTGGCAGATGTTCCTGCTTCACAATCTTTATTCCAATGTTAAAAACACATTTCTCTCCAATAAAATTTGATTCTGTTGTACTTCCATGGATGGCCCAGCTCTGGCACCCTTCAATAACCTGTTTAGCAAATATGCTGTAAATTAAATTTAGAAGTCATTCCTAAAATCTGTTGGATAGTATCGAGTGTGAACAGTTAGTTATTTTACTTAACAAGGTTTGGTTATTGAACAGTTCTCAACGTTTTAGTAAAGTTTTCTAACAAGTGTAAAAACTGAAAAAAGCAAGATTTTAAGTGAAGTGCATCCAAGTGGTAAATGTCAACGTATTTGCAGAAGACCAATGATAATCTGAGGAGTACCGAGGTGTACAAAAAAGAAATATTATAAAGATATTTCAGGCTATATATTTACAGGAAATTGCACAGTAGTTCGTATTGTTAGACAAATCAGTACTCTGTATTATTTGAAGTCGTTAGTGTTACAGGATCATCACTCCAAGAGTCCTTGAATTGCGATTTACAAAATTCACCTGTACACAAGGAAGGTGTTAGAAAATCGAATACTGTGGAGGGGGAAAAAAAAATCCAGACTATGCAAGTTCCCTGAAAACAATCAAGGCTTCCATTGTTCGTTACAGCAAACCGAAACAAAATAAGCACATGCCTTAGAGACGCACCCGGAAGACAGTTTTAACACTTATGCTTCCAAAAAAATAATAAAAGAGCCACAAATAGCATTGTCACCCAATTCGGGGCCTTCAGCTACCAAGTAGCAACAGTCCTGGGCGACCGACACTAAATCAACAACATTTAGAAGCATTCATCAAAGCCAGGAGAAGTGATTCACAATAGGACCTCTGTTAAGCCCATACCCGACAAGATTTATCTTGCAGGTCCAAAAGGATGCTTTAAAAGCCATGGTGCAAGACTGCCATTCGAAATTCCAGGGTTAAAATGTTTGACGATCTATTCAATGAAGTGACTCTTTAAAAAAAAGTATCTCCCCTCCACCAATTACTTTAGAACAGGTATGGACAAACTTTGGCCTTCTGGGTGTTTTGGACTTCAACTCCCACCATTCCTAACAGCCTCAGGCCCTTTCCTTTTCCCCCTCAGCTGCTTAAGCGGCTGAGGGGGAAAGGAAGGGGCCTGAGGCTGTTAGGAATTGTGGGAGTTGAAGTCCAAAACACATGGAAAGCCAAAGTTTGTCCATGCCAGCTTTAGAAGCACCTCTTCCAAAAAAAATAGAGTTGTTATGGGAAGGGTCACAACCCAGAAATTGTGTAGTTCATTAACCTAAAAAAGGGTTTAATCTAGCCATGCTAGAATTTGTTAATCAAAGATGAATCCACACACATTGAGCATTGTGTCCCTCAAATAGTGCAGCAGAATCTGAATTAAAGATTACAATCAGGCAGAGTGCAGCCAACGTGTTTGTGTAATAGGCTTCAGAGGAAAAAAATCATGATAAGATTAGGATATCTGAACACATTTGCTCCTGCGACACATCACCTTATGCTACATACAAAAAGAACGAAGATGTTGCAAATTAGTCATGCTTACCATTAACACTTCTGAACTGGAAAAGCTGCAGAACGCCATTTCCCTAATAAAGAAAATGACGACTGCCTCGATACACAAGTTATGTGCAAACTGCAAGGTCCCTAGAATAGCAGGTATGAGTTTATGTACAGAGGACATCACTATCCATTTAAATACGCAAAAAGGACGAGTCTTCCAGAGTTTATAACACCGAACAATAGCCGCCGCAAGCGCCTCTATGGCCCTCTTCGTCATTTGATAACTTTACACCTCTGTTTTGGCTCTCGCTTTCCCACAGTCCAGGCGTCTGGATGATTTTTTCAACCAGTTCTTCAAAGGCACACTGTACACCGTCACACGTTTTTGCACTTGCCTCTGGATGGGTTTGGGGAAGGAGGGAGGGGAGAGGAAGGGAGGGAGGGGGGAGGGAGGGAGGGAGGAGAAAAGACAAAATGTCAAGGTATGTTGTATCACTTTTTCCCCTCTTTGAAAAAACTCTATTTCCCAAGACTATATCACCAAGCTCAGAGCACAAGAGTCGCTCCATCTATTGGCACAGAATGAACAGAAGCTGCCAAAAGACTTGTGTGGAATTCATATACTGTACACTCTAGGAAAAAAAGTACTGTTGCAATGACAGATCTTCTCTTTTTGCATTACATAGATTCTGTTTGGTAAACATTTAATGAATCTCTCAATGCAGTTAACTACCAAAGGCTAACAAAGCAACCAACTTTACAAGTTTTTAATGTCAACTCACAAATCAGTCTTCTAGCACTCCTCAAATTGTGGATTGTGATATTTGTGCAAACTAGTTGTGGGGTTTATAAGTTAAGTCCAAAATAACCATTGCTTTTATTATTTATTTATTTATTTATTTGCAGTATTTATATTTTATGTATGACTTGCCTCTTCAATTTTTGTTGGGTGTTTTCTTTCGCATAAACTGATTCATAATTTTATTTGAGGGCCACAAACATGTCAGCAAATGCCATTTTAATTTTTTTTTTCTTGTATTAGGAGCGACTTGAAAAACTGCAAGTCTGGTGTTAGAGAATTGACCATCTGCACAAAAACATGTTAGGAGTGAGAAAAAAAATCAAAATTTGCTCTGCATCAAAACTCACTGATTAATGTTAATTTTGGATTATGCTTTTTACCAATGTTTGGTTTTGATCAAACCATGTTTTACCATCCTGTGGGATGCTTCACTCATGATGCCACATGGGAAGCTGGAGGTGACAAAAGCGTGCTCAGCCTGCTCCCCGGATATGAACTGCTGACCTTGTGGTCCGCAGTCCTGCTGGCACAAGGTTTTAACCCTGCCACTTAAATACAAAGATGGCCTAAGTAATTTTTTTTGTCATCCGTGCCTGTTCTGACAATGATAAAATGTACTAGCAAACACTGGTAAAAAGCATAATCCAAAATTAACATTAATCAGTGGGTTTTGATGCAGAGCAAATTCTGATCTTTTTTCTCACCCCTAAAATATTTCTGTGCTCTTTGGTTCAAGAAGATATGGCTCAACAAGTTCTGCAAGGATAGCACTGTTCCTATTATTTTAGCATATAGATAAGAAGTGCCAGTCATCAAGGTTTTCCATTAGGAAATGCAATATGCAACTACCAGTGCACTTTACTGCATTAGCATATATGATTTTGCGACATGGTCCCAGCCACATTCTTGGGTCTGGCAGGGCATTAGCCCTTGGAATCTAGTTACCCAAGAAAAGCCGAACATCAAATTATCTGGTAGTTGCAACAGAACTACATTGAATTTAAAATTAAAAAGCAGAGTGACAAACATGTAATCATAATCGAAATAGGGCAAAAGAGGTTCTCAGAAACTATGAAACTTCCAGGATACTTTGACTGGGAATATATTTTAAAAGTTTAGTTTCTATAATTCTACAGAACAATTTTGATCATTACATCTAGTTCTTTAAAATAAATCAACCATTACATCTCATTATATAACAGATCACTCTGCCATATTTTTCCATGTCTTTTTAAGAACTTACCTATGAACAACATGGAATGTTTCCGAGCAAATTTGAGGCCCTCGTTTCTGTCAACCTCCCTGTTTTCCTATAAAAAAAACCCAACCAGAAACATTAGTTACAATAAACGAACTAAGTTTATAAGCTACAAGTAATGTAAAATTAGGTAAGAGTTACGTACCTTATCAATTTTGTTTCCAACCAACATTTTAACTATATCATTTCTTGTGCAGTATGTTTCCAATTCAGTTAGCCAGTTGTCTAGTTTAGCAAAAGTGTCTCTTCTTGTAACATCATAAACTGAAATCAAGAGAAAACAATGTTCAGTAATGAATACATTTCAAAGTTGCTGGCACACACTTCTACCTTTCGACTGAAATACCTGTCCTGCCACTCTACGGAACAATTATGCTTATTTATAAAAGTACAATTTAGAAAGCAGAGAGTTGCCACTTAAAATGAATCTCCAAACCACACCATTTTTATTCACTGTCATTCCAGCTCAACTGCACTCCTATCTCTAAAAAGATTCAGGACATATGCTTGCTGTTCATGAACTAAAGTAAAATCTAGCAGGTAACAGGTAAGAGAAGGGTGGAGCAGAAGAACTACTAAAATTCTCTATCATCGGAGAAAATTGCAGGCAGATGAAGTCGAGGCTGAGGATGTTTTGTGCTCAGATGTTCGTTGCTTAGCAACAGGGGAAAGGGAAACTGCTGAAAGGTCCATTTCTCTTGGGAAATGGCCTTCAGCCAATGGGGAGTTTTTCCCGAAGTCAGATTAGGTCTCCAGATGGAGGAAGTGAAAGATTAATTAGGCATTCTGAGAGACTCCATGAAAGGTCCTTGAAGCCCAGGTGTATTTGTCATGATCTCATGCCATCTTGGTCGGGCTAAAATTAAGTGTTGTTTACTTGGCATCTCTCAGAGGAGACAACGTTGTCATAAAGTTTGGGTTCCTGTCTCAGCTCTCAAGTTCATGATTCATGTTTTCTGTGTTTGCCTATGTTCCTGGAAGGGTTTGCCTTGGAGAAAGTTCCTGTTTTCATGCTCATGGATTTGTGCCTGTGGTTTTGATCCTGTTTTCATGCTCATGGATTTATGCCTGTGGTTTTGACTCTCTTGACTTCATGTACAGGGTGAGGTAGCATAACTTCCTTTTTAAAAATGCGCGCCATTCAGTTGGTTGAAGACGTAGCGGAGCGCTAGTGGTCTCATTCGAGAAGTGGGAGTATATAGTTTTGTCCTGACACAGTTCAGTCGCCGTCATGCGTTGGAACAGTGAGGAACATGCTTTTGCCGCTGAGGCCTACTTTTCGAGCGGATTTGGAGTGGCCGGCCCGCTCTCCAGATTTGGCCCCTTATGATTTTTTTCTATGAGGTTTTTTGAAATCCCATGTTTATGTGAACAGTCCAAGGACCTACAAGATTTGAAGACCAACACCCAGGAAGAAATTTCCAACATAACACCTGCTATGCTGGCAAGAGTCATGACAAACACCAGAAATCGGTTTACTCAGTGTATGGAGAATGGAGAATGGGGGACATCACCTACCTAATTTGGTCTTCAAAACTATGTAAAACAAAACTTTAGGTATGTGCCTACATTATAAAAAAAAAAATTCTGATTCATACAATGGGTTTTATTAAGTTTTGAAAAAAGGAAGTTATGCTGCCTCATCCTGTACTTTGCCATTTTTTAATTTCTGTTCTTTTTTATATGGACTGCTACTATTTTGTATTTCCTATTCCGCTGCTCTTTTAGGAAATGCCCTTTCCCCCTTTGTACATGCTTTTCTTAATAAACTGTTGTAGTTAGTACTACTGGACTCTGGTGTGGTAATGGGTGTAAAGGTGTCTCAAGGCTAAAGCGCATACAGCTGCATACAACTTCAGATTAAGCCATACTGGGGATGGTGGCTATTTCAACCTTTCCCTTCTTCGTAATTTGGCATGAACATCCAATTACCACAAACATAGAGACAGACACCAGTATCAAAAATGTCATCATGAAACCAATTAAGGAAGGCCAACACTTGGACTCTTAAAAAACTAGAACATTTCCAGAGACAGGCTTACCTAATATAACACCCTGTGCTCCTCTGTAATAGCTGGGAGTTAGCGTCCTGAACCGTTCTTGACCAGCAGTGTCCTAAAAGAGGCAGAAAGTTTAAAAATGCATGTGCTTGACACAGTTGAACATTTCCCCACTCCTTCCCTTCCCTATGTTATTTTAAAAACAGGCGCTATATGTCCTGATATTCAGTATTTTCCACCTTACAAGGACTTCCTCCTCTGTACTTTTTGAATAAATCCCTTCAGGAATAAATTGGATTCCTATATCTTATTCTCGTATAAGTTCCTATATCTTATTCTCTCTATATAGCAGGACTGAATCGCATAATTTTTTTCCAGATGCTACTGTACTAAAATATTCAGCATTCCTCACGTTTTACCTACTGTGATAGACATGCTCCACAATTCTTTAGAAAGAAGAACATTTGTATGGTATGGCAAAAGAGACAGGAATCTGTCCATTCAAATCAAACGTTTAAGTGACTTCTCGTTCCTATATCTAGACTTATCTCTACATAATTCTCTTTCAAAAACCAGAACTCTAAAGGAAGCATGACTATAAAAATAACAATATTGCTCTTGTTTGAAATATAAGCCCTCCCCCTTTTATTAGTTTCCCACTTTTCCTTCTCTTTATCCATTAAACCCAGCTGAAGAAGCTGGTCCCTAACCAATCTAACAGCATATTTTTGACTGTATGTTTAAGTACTCAAAGTCTAATAAACAGATATTCATTTGATAAGGAGATAAAAGAATTCCAAGTAATCATGAAGGTTTTTTAGCTTACCACCCATCAACTATAAATTGTTTTGCCACATATTTCTAATACAGGCTTAGAATTCATTGCTACAGGGAATCTTTGATATTCTCTATATAAAATCATTTCTTTACTGTCTATTCCCAGAGTAGCACACTTAAAATAGAAATATGACTTTTTGACTAATATTACTTACAGTGGTCACATTTGAGTGTTTCGTTTACAAGTAAACCAGTGAAAAATATTTAAATGCCTAGATTTTCATGCCAAGGAGCACAAGCCATTCCACTTACTATTTATCTGTAACCTAATGTAATCACATTTGTCCAACAAAAAAAACCCCACAATTACTTGGCAGCACTGGGTACAAAATTTATTACATACCAATACAATTCTTGGCAAGACTCAACAATGATGGGAGACATTACAGGGTTTTTTATTACAACTTACCCATATTGCTAGCTTGGCCTTATTTCCATCAACTGAGATGGTTTTCACTTTGAAGTCAACACCTAAAAGGCAATAATATTTAACACTCCCTCAGATCCAGAAGTGGTTTAGAGCAAAAGAACATCACAGAGTCAGGCTATGCATGTTGCATACTAATTCTGAAATGGGTTTCCTTCGAAAGTACATTTGTGCTCTTTGCTTCCTTATTCTACTGCAGTGTTTTGGAAAGAGACCAGCACCCAGTGCTTTCACTGCAAATTATATCAAATTGGCTAGAAGAGAACAAAATACAAAAATATACTGATAGGAAAATGGAATTTAGAATGATCCAAGTGTCATTTAATTTCACATAAAATTTGATAGTATATGAGGCATTCAGTGTTCAAGGAAGTTACTGCCTACAGGCCCAGAACTGAGGAGCCAACTGCACATACAATTTTTGAAGGGAACACTTCTGTAAAGGGAAAGTGAAAGCTATCTCATCACAGTAAATGGAGAAAAGAAACAGATGTTCATTTGCTAAGTAGAACAAATTGCAAGCTGAATCCATTCTATTTACAAAAACTGTCGGAAGATTGACTCTATTGTACGCTATATAGGATAGGAGCAGTCATGGGTATTTTGGACTTCAAGTCCCACAATTCCTAATAATTGTGGGAGTTGAAATCCAAAACACCCGGAGGGCCGAAGTTTGCCTATGCCTGGTATAGAGCCTATACTAAAAATAGCAAGCTGTGTTTTGCCTGGCTTACAAAATGCAATCAGAAAACTCCACCTGACAAATGCACACACCTGTTCATCGTATTAGTTCTATGTGAGCATACATGTGAACGGGCCAAGATACAAATGCAATCTGAAAAAACAAAGTTATGGTTTCCCTGTAGGCACTGAACATCACTCAGTTAAAGGAAACTGAACACATCAGAGCCAAATCAGGACAAGAACCCACATGATCTCTTCAATCATCTGGAGAGGCCCTACTCGCGCTCCCACCTGCATCACAAACGCGATTGGTGGGGACGAGAGAGAGGGCCTTCTCGTTGGTGGCCCCTCAACTCTGGAACTCACTCCCTAAGGACATCAGGCATGCCCCATCTTTGGCAGTCTTCAGGAGGAGCTTGAAAACGTGGTTGTTCCAGTGTGCCTTCCCAGAATAATGAACCCTTAGCACTATGTCCCACAAAGCACTTTATATTGATTTAGGACTGCTTGTATTTCTCCATCAACGCCCTATCTCCTGCATCTTGTCCATGCCTAGCATTATTTTTTAAACTTTAATTACATTTGGCCCAGCCATAGTTTTAATTGTGCACTGTATTTGTTTAATGTGATGCTATTTGTGTATGTGTTTTATTTTTAATTGCTTTGTATTGTATCTGTTATTGCTTATATTGCTTGTATTGCGGGCTCGGCCTCATGTAAGCCGCACCGAGTCCCTTGGGGAGATGGTAGCGGGGTATAAATAAAGTATTATTATTATTATTATTATTGTTGTAGTAACTGTTTACACTGACTTACCTGGATGCTTTCCTTAGCCGCACAATTCTATAGTATATCCAGAATACTATCATGATGTACTCTATATACATATGTGTAAGTCTAGAAATTTTGTTAAAAAAAAATCCATCCCAAAAAATCTGTATTGACTGATCCAATGGGTCAATGAGAGTACTGGACCTGAACTCTTACACACACACAAAATCCACCTTCTCTGAGTAAAGTGGCAAAAGGCAGTCCCAGGTGAACCTAAAAGTAGAACCCTCTGCTTTCTGAGCTGTGGCATCACTTCTGGTCTTTCTAAATGTCTGGAAGGGGGAAATGGCAATTGTGGCAGCCAGGGATGGCTGGTTCCTCAGGGCGCTTTGGGGGTTTCCCCCTCTGTGGAAGAACTGTGGACTTATCTACAGGTGATATCAAAACCCATAATTTTGGCCTCAAAAATACTCTTGATTTATATATGAAGTCAATTCAGTATTTATGGTAAGAAACTGTGATGCTATCTTGTTTAGAACATGGACCTGCAATTCTTTCTTTCCAAAGCCTGCTAAGTAGCAGCTGTTTTTGTTGAGTGACTGCAATGGAATTTCCCCAGCATCATCTTACTCCTTTAGCAGGCTTTTCTCCACTTCTTGCAAACGAAACCCGAAAGTACTTAATACTAAAATAGTTTATGAAGCTTTGCACTATACAAAAGCTTTAGCTAACATTTTTGTGCCTTTTTAGTTAGCCTATTTATAGTACTACCACAATACGGACTCTGAAATTTTACTACTATGAATCTATATGGCCTTGCTTTCACCTCTGATCTATTTGACTGCCACAGCTGAACGATGCAAGCCCCACAATTCAAAACTATGAAAATCTCCTAGACAAAGTGATGTGCTAAATATAGTAACCATCCTTTTACAGATTTATGGGTATAAAAATAAAATGCAAGCTAACCCAAAGGAACAGTTAAACTACAGAATTTTCAGTTTTAAAACACATTATTGACTTTGGCAAAAGTTTCAGCTCTTCCAAACAACTTTTAAAGGTCATCACATTCCAAGCACCAAGCACTGTGCTGAAAGACTCATTCTATGTCCTATAGAGTAACTTGTATGTAGATTTAATATTTAACGTAACAGATCATGTTTAGATTAATCTGCAAAAGTTTGAAGCCACAACCGTACAATATTGAGAAAAAGATGACTCTGCTACACTATTAGCTTCTTTCTGTGCTATTTTACATCACTTCGTATGTTTCTTATTTTCACAGATCTGATATAATGCCCAAATTAGAACAATTTTTCTCGCTGTTGTTATTGAGCAGTCAGGTAAATGTCAACACTGACAACAGGTACCTTATTTTTTTTCCAAGTGCTGAAGGTAACAGAAACTTACCAATTGTTGCTGCAAGTTCTGGATCAAAGGTGTCATCTGTAAAGCGTAAGAGAAGGCTGTGTAAAAGGGGAAGGAGATGGGAGGAGAGAAAGGAAAAAATGTGAGCATTGCGTGTGAACAGACCTTCATTACTGGTTTCAAATTTGCCAAGTTAGATAATTAGAGCAACGAACCAACCCCCCCCCCCCCAACAAAGCATTGTTTTTATGACAGAATTGAGGAAAGTGGGCTCCCATTACAAGTTCATCATAACGCTGACCAAGACACTTCTTGGAGTGGCAGTTTCAATATGAATACGTAATTCCAATCAGCAAAACAGGAAAAGCAGAAAAGGTGGATTCTAAACACTGGTGGGTTTTAGGTAAATGCCATGAAACGGGCCTCTATCCCCACTGCAATTTCCCTGCCCTGGTTCAAGGATAATAAGATCTGTTTGGTATGGATTAAAACATCTGAAGACCAGAATTTAGTATTCCACTGAAAATATTGATTATATTTAAGGAATCTTGAATTGTATCCGATTCTTTTAAGGTTCTTAATCACAGCATTCAATTTATTGACAGCAATATTGGCCTGTTTCAGTCTAAATTAGAAGTAAAAGGAGTCCTGTGATATCTTTAAGATTAGCCAGTTTATTTCAGAATAAACTTTTATAGGTTACAACCCACTTCTCTGGCTGTATCTGAAGAAGGTGGGCTACAGTCCACACGGGTTTCTACCAGAATACACTTTTTTCCCATGTCAGGAGTTACTTGAGAGACTGCAAGTTGTTTCTGTTGTGAGAGAACTGCCCATCTGCAAGGACTCCTGGACTCTGTCCAGGAGACACCTGGATGTTTTACCATCCTGTGGGAGGCTTCTCTCATATTCTATTATGGGAAGCTGGAGCTGACAGACGAGAGCTCACCCTGCGCCCCGGATTTCAACCGCCAACCTTTCGGTCAGCCGTCCTTCCGGCACAAGGGTTTAACCCACTGCACCACCAGGGGCTCCTTACTGGAATACACTGACAATTTTTACGACATAAAAAAAATCCATTTTTCTTTTTCTGAAACCATTTATTTATTTACTGCATTTATATATCATCTTTCTCCCAAAGCAGTAAACAACTAATTTAGCCTTAACAAACTTCTTAAGTGGATCCTATTTATTTGGGACCAATAGCAGGATTAAGGTTTCATGCTCCTATTTTTAAAGAGTGGCACAAGTAGCTCAATGAGAAAGAATTGAACTGAGGCTGGCAACTATAGAGGGGCATGGCCCAATTTTCACCCCAAGACAATAGCAAAAACAGCAGCAACAGCAAGCCTTGTGGCATCATAAAGGGTAACAAATTTTATTTCACATGCATCTCTGTGGACTGCAGCCCAGACACAAGTGATAAAGTAGGTTGCAATCCATAAAAGCTTAAAAGCCTTTAGCCTCTGTTTAGTTTCTGGTGCAAAAAGCACATGTCAACACTGTTATAGTTTACCTTCCTTCTTCACAAAGAGTATTTTTGCTGACAAATACCAAAGATATTCCAGTATAACTTGGCTAGATTGCACTCTTGAATCTAATAAAAACCACTCAAAAATAAACGAATGTATACCACTAGATTCACAACAGATAGAAGTACAATTACATTTGTTAATTCATCACCACACCCAGAGATGCTAGTTTTGTGTACAACTCTATATCTGAAGCAGCAGTACGTGTGAAAAAGATCTTGGAGTCCTCGTGGACAATAAGTTAAACATGTGGCGGCAAAAAAAGCCAATGGGATTTTGGCCTGCATCAATAGGAGCATAGTGTCTAGATCTAGGGAAGTCATGCTACCCCTCTATTCTGCTTTGGTTAGACCACACCTGGAATATTGTGTCCAATTCTGGCCACCACAATTGAAGAGAGATATTGACAAGCTGGAATGTGTCCAGAGGAGGGCGACTAAAATGATCAAGGGTCTGGAGAACAAGCCCTATGAGGAGCGGCTTAAAGGAGCTGGGCATGTTTAGCCTGAAGAAGAGAAGGCTGAGAGGAGATATGATAGCCATGTATAAATATGTGAGAGGAAGCCACAGGGAGGAAGGAGCAAGCTTGTTTTCTGCTTCCTTGGAGACTAAGACGACGTGGAACAATGGCTTCAAACGACAAGAAAGGAGATTCCACCTGAACATGAGGAAGAACTTCCTGACTGTGAGAGCCGTTCAGCAGTGGAACTCTCTGCCCGGAGTGTGGTGGAGGCTCCTTCTTTGGAAGCTTTTAAACAGAGGCTGGATGGCCATCTGTCAGGGGTGATTTGAATGCAATATTCCTGCTTCTTAGCAGGGGGTTGGACTGGATGGCCCATGAGGTCTCTTCCAACTCTTTGATTCTATGATTCTAAGTTTTTTTCATGTAAATGAATGTTCTCAATAACAATATTTCGGCAACTTACATTTCATTTACCCTGTAATTTAGGAACCAAGCTGTTTGCTTAGATCTGGCAGACTCAGAACTCCTATTTACCCTAGTGGCAACTATTCTAAAAAAATATAACAGAGCAGAAAGAAAGTTAACTTTCAAGTTTGTCATACCCCTGCGCACAAAGAATGTAATTTGCAATCCAGCAGTCAACACTGAACAGCTGGAGCTTTCCTTTGAAAACTGAGCTACAAACTCATTAGGTGGCCATGGGCAAATGAACACACCCTCAAATTCCTCGTATAGTAGATAAGCAGTTAATATTAGCCAGCCTCCCAGGATTGCTATAGAGATTTCTATAAGAATGTACTAAATGGGTCTGTCTGGTTTCTTCATTAAATTATTCAGTTTGTTCACCATATGACACTTTTACTTTGCCAAATGGCAATTTAACACTTGATGCAACAGTCCACCTTTGGATTTGTGACTGCATAAGATAATCAATTAACTTAAGCATAGCAGTTTGGATATTTAAAAAAAGTGCTACACTAGCCGTAATTTACATTTAGAGAGTCAAACTCATCTGTACAGTTGTACTTGACTGAAAATCTCATAATCCTTATGAAGAAGAAGCAGTATTTGCTGGACTTAATCTCCTCCCCTTTTCCTTTTGTGTCATGTCTTAGGAATTTGTATGCTGCCCTGAGAGCCTTTGTGGCTGAACAACAATGTATAAATACTCCAAATAAACTAAATTAAGAATAAATATTGGCCTTGTAGGAGCCAGCATGGTGTAGTGGTTTGAGCATTGGACTATGAACCTGAATAATAAGGACTAAAATCCCCACTTGGACATGGAAACCTAGTGGGTGATCTTGGACAATCTCAAAGGACAGCAAAGAAAAACCCCTCTGAGTAAATCTTAAGATAACCCAAAAATAGGAACGCCTTAAAGTAGGGGTCCCCAACCTAAGGCACACTGTGTGGTGGCCTCCCACTCAGTGGCCAGTGGAATGGCAGCTCTGACAATCCAGGGAGGGGCGAATTACCAAATGCTATTCAATCATGCAAGCTGTAGTTTTGCAAGTTCTTTAGCCTTCTCTGCCAAGTAGTGCTGCTGTCTCATCAAACTACAAATCCTCTGATTCCATAGCACTGAGCAAGGGAAGCTAAAGTGATGTCAAATTGCATTAATTTTAGAGTGTAGTGGCACCCACAGCCTTTTTAACTTAGCCATACACGTTCCAATGACTTAATTGTAGTTTTGGAGCCTAAAAATGCATAAGGCAGGCATTGTCAATGCCCTTGCCTGCATGTTCAATGCCCTTGCCTGCATGTTCAATTCTGGGAGTTGGAGGCCCGAATAGCCAGAGGGCTGGGCACTGAAGGTACTGGCGTAAGCAGTTGTTCCCGGGAGCACTTGGAAGATTACAGTAAGCAATATATGTCATTTTCTGAAGATTACTTAATCCCTCAAAAATGCTCCAGTCATCTCTGCCAACACTAAGCCCAAGTGCTTGCAACATCTTGTAACAGTGGCAGAGAACCTTTGTCCTCCCCAGGTGTCTTAAATTTCGGCTCCCAGACGTTCCAGTCAGCATGACCAATGGCAAAAAAATATGGGAGCTGTAGACCAAAACATCTGGAGGGCTAAACATTTTATAGTTTTGTGTATTAAGTGGGAAAACAATGGAGAATGAAAACATACGGATGATTGTATTTCACACACTACAGCAAGTAAGCCCTTTCTCTTGTCTAGTTTTGTAAACTAAGGAGAACAGATTTAGGTATCAAAATATGTTTTATCATATAAAAACAATGCTTTTTTTCTTGGAGTTATTTGTTCCTGGAGTTATTTGGGACACTGCTGCAGAAAAATTGCACTGGATAGACCACGCCAGTTCTGGTCTCTTAGATAACGTTAACATGATTATCCATGGGCAAGCACAAGACTGGTACATGGCATATGCTCTCCATCTCAAAATCTGGAACTGATAGGAAAAAAGTGGTACCATTTTTGGAACCAGAAGGTGAAATATAACCCAAAAACAGGGCTAACAATTGAAGCACCAAAATGTGAGTTGGCAAGTGTTATTTATGATATCATAATGATTGATCTGAAGAAAAACTCATTAAGACATGGGTGACATTTATAAAGGAAAAAAAATACATGTCCATGTAACAAATAAATTACAAAAGTATTCTGTAATTAATTGCAATTGTCCACCCACTACACACAATTACTTTGCATTTTACTGTGTGTCCTGGAAAAATAACACGAGCTCATGCCATAAAGCAATATGGCTCAATCCATCAACAAAAATAGAAACATTAGGGCACATTATGTTATTTCTCCAAGGAAACCATCTACCTCCTCGTGTTAGTATGTAAGTGTTAAAACACACTCTGTGTGTAAAAGGCAAAGAATGGTAATGAGTATGATATAAGGATGAGCCAATGTAGTATAGTGCAAAAAAGCATACGCAAATAATCAAAAAATGTGTGCAAAAAATCCAGATTCTAGTCTCCAATGACCCGTAAATCGGTAAGATGATCTTAAGACAGTCTTATTCTTTCAGCTGGACCCTCACAAGATTATGGTTCGGACAAAATGGGGGAAAGGATCCACATAAGTCTCAATAGAAGCGAAGGTAAGGTAATAAATAACAGTAGCTGAGCAAAACAAAAGAGGCCTTCAAGACAGGGAACCTGTTTTTTGACAGCAAACTCAAACAGGATAATAGCTTCAAAGGAAGCTAGGACATAAAAGGAGAAAGAAGACCAGCTTTTGACTTGGACTAGTTCTACAAATTCACCTCTACTTACCAGTCTCCCTATATTTCACAAGTTACTACAACTCCCTACAATTGAAGAGAAGGATCCACACCACTGCAAATACTGGTGGCCTGTTTTGGGAATTGTAGGTCAAAGTGCTGAGAGCTGTAGCACAAGAAGTGGCTTTCCCAAGCTCTCGTTACAATGGAAAGAGCCAAAGGTTGAAACAGAAGAAGGGAGTTTTGCTTCTAAGGAAACTCAGCTCTGGAACTTGGTTTCAAAATCGAAAGGCAGAGTCCAAAACTGGAGGTCATGCTTGATAAAGGGCTGACACTTACGCAAACAAACCTCAAGGGAAACTATTCAGACACATATTTCAAACAAGCTGGGCATGGCAGTGTCCTCATAAGTCGTAAATAAAAGCAGCTTGGCAAGGAAGTGGGGCCTCTGAGCATGTGCAAATGGTAGTGCCACACCCTAACAAACAATAGGAAAAACAAGGTCATAATTATCATCATATAGATAAAGTATCCCTTATCGGGAGTTCTATAATCCAAAACAATCCCGATGGATAGCTGATATAGAGGCACCTTGATTTCTGATGGTTTCAAACTTAGTGTCATGCACAGAAATCATTAAAATATGGTGCAAAAATTATCTTGAGGTTACGTGAATAAGGTTTGCATGGATTGCTAAATGGATGTCATGTTTAGACTTGGTCTTCATCTCTAAAGTATTTCATTAGACAGTTCGGGTCGCCAACTGCATCCCCTTGTACGAACCTGCCCAGGCCCTGAGCTCTTCAGGAGAGGCCCTTCTCTTGGTCCCACCTCCATCTCAAGCACGGTTGGTGGGAATGAGAAAGTGGGCCTTCCTCTTAGTGGCTGCCCCTTAACTCTGGAATTCGCTGCCCAGGGAAGCCAGAATTTTTTCCTTCCTGCTGTCATTTCAGCAGCAGGCTAAAACCTTTTTATTCAGAGGCTGCTGTGATTTTATATGCTTTTAATGATGTTTAATACTGTTTTAACATTTTAAGTTGTATTGCAATGATTTTCATTGTGAGCTGCTTTGAGACTCCATATAGAGAGAAAAAGCAGGATATAAATAATAATAATAATAATAAGAATAATAATGGGTTGTTGTAGGTTTTTTTTTCCGGGCTATATGGCCATGTTCTAGAGGCATTCTCTCTGACGTTTCGCCTGCATCTATTGCAAGCATCCTCAGAGGTAGGACCTCACTACCTCTGAGGATGCTTGCCATAGATGCAGGCGAAACGTCAGGAGAGAATGTCTCTAGACCATGGCCATATAGCCCGAAAAAACCTATAACAACCCAGTGATTCCGGCCATGAAAGCCTTTGACAATACAATAATAATAATAATAATAATAATAATAATATAAGGCTTGAGCTTGTTCCAATGCAGTTATTCTTCTCCCACACCCCACCCCCCACCCAAATTATGAGCAGACATTTTAGTCTGAAATTGATCTAAATTGCTAACCTTGGAGGGATCCCAATTAACTTCCTTCTGTGATTCGTTGAGGGTTGGTATAAAGGTAACCTACCCACATAGAGTAAGTCTCTGTGGTATTTTCTCTTTGTGAGGGGATGTGTCATGCCTTCACAGAAATCTCCTCTGTTCTCCTTAGTTAGGAGAGGTTGGCCTGTATATTGTAAACAGCCATTATGGGAGGGATTCAGTGTGGGGGCCCAAATGCTTTGGCCTTGAACTCCCAGAAATCCTAACAGCTGGTAAACTGGCTGGGATTTCTGGGATTTGTAGGCCAAAACACCTGGGGACCCACAGGTTGAGAACCACTGCTTTAAGATATCCTCTTCCTCCACTCCTTTCAGAATCTTCCCCAGGGGTGGAGCCTCTCAGCTAGACTCAACTGCATCCATGGAAGCCAAAAACTAGACCAGAATGTATTTATTTAAAATATTTGTGGCCCTCCCTTCTCAACCCCCCTGGAAGGGAGGGGGACTCAGGGCTGCTTCCAGCTGGCATGATTCAATGCCTACACGAGTACATAACAATACATAATAAAACCAATAACTGCATACAATTAAAACATTAAATCCATTCAGTTAAAATATGTTTAAATATAACAGCCATATGGCCTTATCTAGCCGAGATTCTGAGATCGGAGACTCCATTATTTTATTTATTTATTTATTTATTTATTTATTTGACTTGTATACCGCCACTCCCAATTTGGCTTGGAGCGTTTTACAGCAGATTAAAACAATACAACCAACTTTAAAATACAATAAAAACGAGAACAGACATAGTCCTGAGTTATTCACCCATTGAAAGCTTGTCGGAAAAAAAAAAGGTTTTACAGGCTTTCCGAAAAGCAAGTAGCTCTCGGATGGTTCGGGTTTCAACTGGCAAGGCATTCCATAAATAAGGGGCCACAATCGAGAAGGCTCTCTCAAGCTTGTCTATAGTCCACCACCATAATAATTTGTCCGCATTGTCATTATCCTTGTCAGTATAGTCACCGGAAGGCCTGGTCCCACATCCAAGTTTTCAACTTCTTTCTGAAGGAGAGGAGGGATGAAGATGACCTAATTTCCCCAAGGAGTGAATTCCACAGGCGGGGGCCACCACCGAAAAGGCCCTGTCCCTTGTCCCCACCAGGCATGTTTGTGACAGGCGGGGCCGAGAGCAGGGCTTCCCCAGAAGATCTTAAATTTCGAGGTGGAACATAGAAGAAGATACGTATGGGCAGATACACCGGGCCGGAACCGTATAGAAGGTGTCAGAGGAGTGAAGATGCTAAACATATTCCATGTCAAGATTGATAGGCAATGGTTGATCAATATAAATTAAAGTGTTGGTTCTGTAAGCAAAGTAGCTTTGCTGAAGACACAGTGAACAAAGAAAATACAATAGAAAAGTAGGCAAAGATCACTGTTAGAGCTGCGCCCGTACCTTGGGAAGTCTGACTTGGCCACGGTAGTCCATGCTCTAGTCACATCCCGTATAGACTACTGCAACGCTCTCTACGTGGGGTTGCCTCTGAAGACTGCTCGGAAGCTCCAAATGGTCCAACGATCAGCAGCCAGGATGCTAACAGGAGCGGCACTCAGGGAGCATACAACTCCTCTGTTGCGCCAGCTCCACTGGCTGCCAATTTGCTACCGGGCACAATTCAAAGTGCTGGCTTTAGCCTTTAAAGCCCTAAACCAGTGGTTCTCAACCTGGGGTCCCCAGATGTTTTTGGCCTACAATTCCCAGAAATCCTAACAGCTGGTAAACTGGCTGGGATTTCTGGGAGTTGTAGGCCAAAAACATCTGGGGACCCCAGGTTGAGAACCACTGCCCTAAACGGTTCTGGCCCAACTTACCTGTCTGAATGCATCTTCCCTTATGAACCTGCTAGGACTTTAAGATCGTCCGGGAAGGCCCTTCTCTCGATCCCGCCAGCTTCACAAGCGCACCTGGTGGGGACGAGAGACAGGGCCTTCTCAGTGGTGGCCCCTCGGCTGTGGAACACCCTCCCTACAGAGATCAGATTGGCCCCCTCCCTGTTGGCATTCCAGAGGAAATTGAAGAGCTGGCTTTTCGAACAGGCATTTGACTAGGCAGTGCAATCGCTTATTGGAACACGGAATAAGGAGAATGAGGCTGGATTCTGCTTCTATTGATGAGACGTGATGGATTTGTTATATTGATATTGATGCCTACCTGAGTGACCGCATCTCCATCTATGAACCCACACGTTCACTTCGGTCATCTGGTGAGGCCCTGCTCGTGATTCCGCCTGCGTCACAAGTGCGGCTGGTGGGGAGACGAGACAGGGCCTTTTCTGTGGTGGCCCCCTGACTCTGGAACACCCTCCCAAAAGATCTTAGACAGGCCCCTACATTGGCAGTCTTTAGAAAGAACTTGAAGACCTGGCTGTTCCGATGTGCCTTTCCAGAATAGGAAATCTCCAATAACAAGTCCTTGAAGCACCTTTAGTAGAACTAAGATTATTGCACACCGGACACTGCACTTGCCCTATAATCCTCGTATACCACCTGCCACATCAGCACTTTTATTCCTGTACCCATTACTCTGGCCTGGCCCAGTTTTTATTGTGTCTTGATATACTGTCTATTGCATGTCGTTAATATTGCTTTAACTGTTTTTAATTTTGCTTTTGGTGTTATATTGTTTGTGTTGTGTTTTGTGGCCTTGGCCTTTGTAAGCCGCATCGAGTCCTTCGGGAGATGCTAGCGGGGTACAAATAAAGTTAATAATAATAATAAGAATTGATGTTGATGTTTAATTAATTGTTTACTATTGCTTTAAAGGTCCAATGATTGTGTACCATGTATATTGAAACTGTGTTGTTAAATGCTCTGAGTCGCCTAAGGGCTGAGAAAAGCGGTATACAAATAAAGTAAATAATAAATAAATCCCTTTTAAGAGATTTAACAGTTAGATCAGGAGGAGTTGAGATATTAAAGTCTTTATCAACTGTTCCTCTGAGCATATCAACTCTGTTCCCAGGCCTGGGCCAACTTGGGCCCTCCCTCCCTGCCTCCAGGTGTTTTGGACTACAACTCCCACAATTCCTAACAGCCTACCGGCTGTTAGGAATTGTGGGAGTTGTAGTCCAAAACACCTGGAGACCGGGAGTGAGGGCCCAAGTTGGCCCTTACAGGTTTCCCTATGAGGGGGCGTGGCTTCAGCAGGGATTGAGCCCCGCCCCTTTCCCCAGCCCGTCTCTACTCTGCCCGAGGGCTGCCTTGAGGGGAAAGGCCCGAGGCCTACTTTGAGGCCTACCCGCTCGCCCAGAGGCCTACCTCGACTTCCCCACGCCGCTCTCGCCGATGATGAGGATCTTCAGCGTGGTCAAAATGTCCTCGTCCATCCCAGCGGCGGCGACAAGCCAAGCTCCTCCGAGCGACAACAACTCCGCCTCAGCCCGAAGCTGCCACGTCTTCTGCGCATGCGCCCCCTCTCGCTCTTATCCGGGAAGTGTCGCTAGCTTGCGCATGCGCCCGGAGGAAGTCTTCCGCGTCCGGGTCACGTGGCTCTGGGCCCCGCCCCTTTTTAGGTGTTGCGTTGGAAAGGGGCCAAGGCTGGGGAGACGCATGCGCAGATGGGAGTTATTTGCCTCTTCTAAATCCCCAGGACTGTCTTTGTGTGCAAATATATAGATATCACACACACACACACACACATATATATGAATGACATCTCTATATGAAATATTGTGTATATATATATATATATATTCTCTTTCAAAGCTATTTGGGAAAATAGCTTAGAAAGTATATATATATATAGGAAAGAATCTATATAAATAAAAATGTAATGTTTAGTTCGTGCAACCATCAGAACTCAAAAACCACTGGGAGAATTGACACCAAATTTGGACACAAGACACCTAACAGTCCAATTTATGTCCTCCACTCAAAAAAAATTGATTTTGTCATTTGGGAATTGTTGCTGCTGGGATTTATATATGCTGTGAGTCGCCTTCGGGCTTGAGATACAGCGGTATATAAGCAAAGTAAATAAATAAATAAATAAATAAATAAATTATAGTTTACCTACAATCAAAGAGCATTCTGAATCCACCAATGATGGAATTGGGCCAAACTTGGCACACAGACTCCCATGACCAACAGAAAATACTGGAAGGGTTTGATGGCATTGACCTTGAGTTTGGGAGTTGTAGTTCACCTACATCCAGAGAGCACTGTGGACTCAAACAATGATGGATCTGGACCAAACTTGGCACAAATATTCCATATGCCCAAATATGAACACAGATGGAGTTTGGAGGAAATAGACCTTGACATTTGGGATTTATAGTTCACTACAATTAAAGAGCATTCTGAAACCCACAAACGACAGAAATGGGGCAAACTTCCCACACAGAACCCCCATGACCAACAGAAAATACTTAAGGCCATCCAGTCCAACTCTCTTCACCAGGGCAAGAAAATGTAATCAGAGCCCTCCTGACAAAGAGCCATCCAGTCATAAATATAGATAGATAGATAGATATGATTCTCTCTCACACACACAGATATAGTATCATAGATTTGAAAGAGACCCTTAAAGAAGGACTATGATATGTTGCATATTCAGAGTAGGCAAACCAGACACTCTCCACATCAACACTGACAAAGAAACAAGAAATATTGTTTACCCACAAGTATAAAGAAATTACATAGATTAGAAACCATTACTTTCTTTTCCAGCTCACGAGACTGGGCCACAGCGAGTGGCTGGGGACGGCTAGTATACACACACACACACACTGCATATTATATATATATATTATATGTAGAGGTCATATATATATATATACTGTATATATATATATATAGTTGTAATGCTTTTAATTGTTAGCTGCTTTGAGTGTCCCTGTGAAGAAAAAAAGTAGGATATAAATGTAATAATAATAAATGTATATTTATTATTAAATATACATATATATAAAACAAACATAGAACGGCTTAGATGATGCAAATGGATAAGGAGTCAAACTGGTAGACGTTAATGTTTATATGTATTGTCAAAGGCTTTCATGGCCGGAATCACTGAGTTGCTGTAGGTTTTTTCGGGCAATATGGCCATGTTCTAAAGGCATTTTCTCCTGACGTTTCACCTGCATCTATGGCAAGCATCCTCAGAGGTAGTGAGGTCTTTTGGAACTAGGAAAAAGGGTTTATATATCTGTGGAATGACCAGGGTGGGACAAAGGACTCTTGTGTGTTGGAGCTAGGTGTGAATGTTTCAACTGATCACCTTGATTCCTATTTATTTATTTATTTTATTTATTTCACAGTTTTGTATACCGAGCTTCTCAACCTCGTCGAGGGACTCAGCCCGGTTTACAGCCATAAAAACATATACATTCATTAAAATATCATATATCACAAATTACAAAACAACTTTAAAAACACTAAATATAAAACTACAGTGGTCAGTCGTCCTAATAAGATGGATCTATATCCACTTCCATCCAGAGTCCTATGGTGTTGTCTCATTCCTCGAAGGCCTGACTCCACAGCCACGTCTTCACCCATTTCCTAAATGTTAGGATGGATGGGGCGGTTCTGGCCTCCAGAGGGATGGCAAAACGTCAGGAGAAAATGCCTCTAGAACATGGCCATATAGCCCGAAAAAACCTACAGCAACCCATTAATGTTTATAGTTTTAATTGGTTTTTATATGACTTTTATTCTGCGATATTAAATGTTTTTAATTTATATGAATGTATGTATGCTTATGGCATCTAATTGTTGCCAATCTGTGCACTGCCCTGAGTCGACTTCAGACTGAAAAGAGCTGTATCTGTGTGTGTATGTGTGTGTATGTGTATAATCATAATATACCACCTAACCAGTTTTAAGTATGAATTTTGAACTCATTTCCTGCATTTAATCTCTGTTCTGAGTATTTTAATATGTATTTCATAGAAATACCTTTTAATATGTGTATTTGTGGAATTTTTACAATGTCTTGTGTTTGAATTGCTTTGTAACTCATACTGAACCACAAGATGTGGGTAAGAAATAAAATATTATTATTGCCATACAGTAGTTCTTACAAGAGGTCCAAACATTAGTTCAGTGTGCCTCTAAGAGGGATGTGTCCTTCTACTCTCTGCATAAATGCTATGCAGTTGTCAGTAAACTACCAGAAGGCACTCTTGAGGGCAATCCCATTGTTAAAAATTTAATCACGGATGAAAATAGAGGGAATGGAAATTCAGTTTGAGAATGTCTGTAACACTGACCATGAAATGTGGGAGCAAAGTTATTTCAGCCATAGTAGATGGTTTAAAAAAATACTTGTTTTATTCACTTGTCATAGTAGAATTTGGGCACGTTAGAACTATGCATATGTCTTATCCGAAGTACATGAGATCCTTCAATTATTTATTTTTAAAAAATCATATAAAAAGAAAAACACACAATCAATCCTCTTGGATGCTGCCAAGAAGTAATATTGCTAAAATTTACATACTGGGCTGGGGGGCAGGGGGAGAAGAACCCCACTCAGCTGTCATGTAGATGCAATCCAGTGTAGGTGGCTTGTGGCACAAAATGTTTGGGTAATGCATTTGTCACAAAACGTATTGAATGGAATTAAAGTTTCAGAGGCTTCCCACAGAATGAATGCTTTCTTGTATATCCGAATCGGACCCAGCTGTGTCATTTCTAGAAGGCTCACTTTGACGCGTGCTTTGATCTCCTGCAGCTAAGCCTGATGTATAAGGAAGTCTTTTTGAAGAAGCTTTACTATTTTCACTTGTGAGGGTGCTGAATTTATCACTGTACCCACTATAGACATTTATACTGGGTTCAGAGACTGAGCGCTGACTAGAAACTGGTTGTCTCGCAGAGGAATCTCTTGCCTCTAACTCCACAGCTTGACTGCGTTTCTCCAAAGATGCTGCCAGGCTGGATTTTGATGCCTCATCTTCCATTCTCCAGCTGTCAATCTTATCTTCAGCTTCTTGCCACAAACTCTGCTGGGACTGACTAATGACTGAAAGTTGTTGGGTGTTTGCTGAAGCGGGGAGGACATTATTTGCAACCTGGCATGGACTCAAATCTGCCTGGAAGCTGACAGGAACAGAATGAACTACTGAGCCAGCATTCTAGGAAGAAGACAAAAATTAAAATCAAACTATACACTAAAGACATAAAAAACAGAAAGGAAAGAACTTTAAAACTCCTGCTTTCAGCTGCTGGTGCATGGGAATGAATCCCTGTGTCATAGATTGGTCCTTCACTCATCCAGATAAGGTTATGTTCCAATTCATTAAAAGTTCCAAACTATCACCAGTGTTCTAAATTGTGATAATGCACACATTTCTATCACACTCATTTTCCTTCCTCAATTTTCCTCAAGTCCTAAATGGTTCTGGCCCAGCTTATCTGTCCGAACGTATCTCCCTCTATGAACCATCTAGGAGGTTAAGATCTTCCAGGGAGGCCCTGTTCTCGGTCCTACCTCCTTCAAAGGCGCAGTTGGTGGGAACAAGAGCCAGGGCCTTCTCAATGGCTTCCTGAATTGCCCTTCAAAAACAGCCTTTAGACCAATGGTTCTCAACCTGGGGTCCCCAGATGTTTTTTGCTTTCAACTCCCAGAAGTCCTAACAGCTGGTTAACTGGCTGGGATTTCTGGGAGTTGTAGGCCAAAAACATCTGGGGACCCCAGGTTGAGAACCACTGCTTTAGACAATATTGAAAGTAAAAGAAAAATGCTTTACTTCAGCAAACACAAAAGATAAGCAGATGCAATTGAAAAATGCAAAAGAAAGCAAGGAAGTCTTAATCCAGACACAAATTCAAGTCTCAAAAGAAACACCAGTCTTCCATCAGACAACAGACAATGAACTAAGCAGACACAAAGCAGATTCCATAGGAGTCAAAACAGCAGTATCAGGGTCGTTATTACCAGCGAAAGCTGACTGCTCCTGCCTCTGATTTATAGCCCCGAATTCCCCACGCAGGAGGAGGTAGGGCGTCTCCCAGTGTTTTTAGCAGTTATTCTGGCTGAACGGTGTCTGTGCTCTGTCTCTCTCTAGAAATGTGGGCACTTTCAAACCCTCATTGTCTGATTCTTCTTCTCCCTCCAATTCCTGAGCACTTCCCTGCTCCCCTTCCTCTTCCTAAGATGAGGAATCCCCAACAGTGGTGGTCCCTTGGCTATGGAATTCCCCCCCCCCCTCCCCCAGTTAAATCAGATCAGCTTCCTTCCTCTTGGCCTTCATAAAGAAAATGAAGACGTGGTTATGGGACCAACCCTTCGGTTAGTAAAGTAATGCAGTGCTAGAAATGGATATGGAATATGTGCAATTGACAACTGGGATGGCTTTGGACTACGATTTTGGATTGTGTGGCTTTTAAATATTATTGTTAAGAGGTTTAATTTTATGATTTTTATCGGCTATGGAACTCTCTTCCCAGTTAAATCAGATCAGCTCCCTCCCTCCTGACCTTCAGAAAAAAAAATTAAAACATGGATATTGGAGCAAGCCTTTGGGCAGTAATGCAGTGCAATAAATGAAGATGGTATATGTGCAGTTATGACTGGAACCGCATCTGGACTACGATTTTGGATTGTGTGGTTCTTAATAATTGATTTAATGTTTGTATGCTTTTTAGTTTTATATTTTGAATTTATATGTTTATTTTATTATATGTCTGTTTTATTTGGCATTGAATTGTTGCCTATTTTAAGGCCACTCCGAAACCCCTTTGGGGTGAGAAAGGTGGGATATAAATACAATAAATAAATAAAATCTTCTGTGCTACATAAATACACTGATATTTTGGCCAAGCACCTCATGAGATGGGTTCTTGCCCATGAAAGCGAAATCACTGTGTTTAACATGGAATGGAATGCAAGACTTTTGACTTGGCTAAAACAGCAATGCAACCATCCCTTTAGAACTGTCTACCTACATCCTGACAAGTTTTTTGAAGTGGAAACAGAGGTTTATACCAATCGTGAATGGTCATTTTGGAAGGCCGATACTGAGCCAATCAAATCATTCATACTGTTTACTTCTGACTCTCCCTTCAGTTTTATTGTATATTTATTTATTATTATTTATTTAAAACATTTATATTCCGTCCAGCTCATCCCGCAGGGGACTCAGGGCAGAGCACAATATATATACGACAAACATTCAGTGCCAGGACATATAACCATAAATACGAACATTAAAATCACTTATTTTCACATTAAAAGTTGCTTAAAAACCATCTCAGGAGACCATTTTGCCTCATTGCACTGCCCCAAAGGCTTGGTCCCACAGCCAAGTCTTCACCATCCTCCTGAAGAACAGGAGGGAGGGGCAATCACTGAGAAGGCCCTGTCTCTCATCCCCACCAAACGCGCCTTTGATGGTGGCAGGACCAAGAGCAGGGCCTCCCCAGAAGATCTTACTTTCCACAGTGGTTCGTGGAGGGAGATGCTTCCTTGCTAACTGGATAATACAGTGATACATTGACTTAAGAGTTTAATTCATTCCGTGACTGAGCTCTTAGCTCAAAACACTAGCACTGAAAGGCTATTAATCCATTCTGTCCCCCGAACCTCCCCTCAATTAATTTTGTTACATGCTTTTTAAATAAGAAAATGTACTTTATAAATAACAAACAATGTATAAATGCACATTCACATTCCCTCTCTTGCTCTCTCTTTCTTCAGGAAGCCAAACATACCAGGAGAAAATGCCACACAAAGTCAACTAACCCAAAGTTCCTCAAAGTGTACAAGAGCAAAGCAGACAGCAATATCTCAAAGAGGACAAGAGCACGAGGCGCGGAGGCTGCTCCCTTAAAGCCCTATACTCTGGCACTAGCTTTTAATTCAAAATGCTCTTAAGTTGGGATGCTCTTAAGTCAAGCTTCCACTGTATAGACTAATACAGATAGAAAAAAAATCATTCCTCATTTCCTAGCACCAAATCCAAGATGCTGTTAGAGGAGCAAACAATCTGTCACCCCCTAGCATACTAATAAATTTGTAAACCAGTAACTTGTCAAGAAAAGGCAGTATTTTTCATGTGTCACAAACTTACTTTAAAATTCTGCATGTGTTCTTGTCTTTCTTCTTCAAATGACTTCTCCCTTGGCATTCCTGCAGGTTTGGTTAGAGTAGAAGTCATTTGGGGATGGTGTAATATGCTGAAATCTGATTGATCTATCCCAGCTATTGCTGCAAGCTGTCCAAGTCTGTAAGATATAAGAAACCATAGTCATCTAAGTGAATGCAAGGCAAGAGTAATGGGACAAGAAGGTCAAGATGCCATAACTGAAATTCCGCAACATTTGTTTTGCATTCCAACAATCAGAATAGAATCATGAGTATATCAAGTCCATTCTCCTTTTTATGCCCAAAGAGAAGTGTAGGATCAAAAATAAGTGCCCAGGGTAGGGCATCATGTCTTCCTACTTCCTGAGACATACATAATCTATGTAATGAGAGGTCCGTTTGTAGGAAAGTAAGGTTGACCGAGTCATCACATCTTCGGAAGAATCCAGCGAGTAGCGTGGTAATGGGGCGAATTGCTAACAGTGATTTGTACGAAGACACCTCCCAAGGCTGTGGCCGCTGCGCAAGGTGCACCATTAGGAAAATGGCAGGTGCGTCTGGGGGGGGATTGGGCGAGTCCCGATAGGAGGGCGCGTAGGGGGCACGAGGGGAGCGGAGAGCGAGAGAAAGGAACTGCAGGCAATGAGGTACGCTGGCCTGCGTGGCTAGCGGATGGCCAGGGAAAAATGGAGAGATAGTGAATATGGGTAGAATCTTATGAAGAAAGGGCGGGTGTGGTTTGGAGGAAAGGCGTGAGGGCACATACGTGGTGGGAGGCGGGAAGAATGTGGTGTGTCGACGTTGGGGGGTGAGGGGGAGTATGAGAGTTTAGTTAGGAGGGAGCATAAAGGTACTAAGGGAGGGAAAGTAAAAAAAAGAGGGGGAGGGAAGGGAGATGGAAGAAGGGGAAGGGAGGGCCAGGGGATGAGGAGGAGGAAAGGAGAGGGAGGGGGGAAGGAACTAAAGGGAGGGGGAGAGGGAGGAAGGAGGGGGAAGGAAAGGAAGGGGGAGAGAAAGGAGGTGTTCATGCTAGGCTGAGAGCGAGCTCGCGGCGAACCCAAACACGCTCGGACTGTGCTTCTGGTAGCGGTTTTCTGAGCTTGCGGGGTGATGTTGGAACTGTTTGCAGAGGCCGGTAAGGCTTGAGTGGGGTGTTGTAAATTTTTTCGGTATGTTGGACTGTTTCGATTCTACTACAGAGGTGTCACCTGCTATTCAGGCTATACGAGGTTATGAGGTCTGCTGGGAACTAGGAAAATGGAGTTCATATATCTGTGAAATGTTCAGAGTGGGATTGTTTTTGAATTTATATTATGCTAACAAGCTACAACTAATGAAGAAGAACAAAAATGCAAACTGCTTTTTCTTACCCGGCATCTTTAAGAAGATCTAAAAATGCATGGAATTTCTGGAAAGAGCTCTCAATGCTACCCAAAACTCCTTCATCTTCCAAAATAGTGCTGGCTACAGACTGCGCATGGAGAACCTCTGACAGGGAGTAATTCAGATTTCTTAAACGGGTATTTTCAAGTTCCAGCTAAAAAGAAACCATAAAACAATTGTCCTTTAATTGAAACAGCTGGTGGCAGGAAGAAAGACCCAGCATTTCATGTATGTCACATTTTGGCTTTGCAATATTGAAAAAGTTACAGAGAATGAACACGTCAAGCTACTCTGGGACTTCTGAATTCAGACTGACAGAGTTTTGGAGCACAATACTCCTGACCTCATAATAATAAAAAGTATGGATTGTCAATGTTGCAATCCCAGGTGACAGCAGGATTGAAGAGAAACAACTGGAAAAGCTGACACGATATGAGGATTTAAAGATCGAACTGCAAAGACTCTGGCACAAGCCAGTCAAGGTGGTCCCAGTGGTGATTGGCACACTGGGTGTAGTGCCTAAAGACCTTGGCCTGCACTTAAACACAATCGGTACTGACAAAATTACTATCTGCCAGCTGCAGAAGGTCACCTTACTGGGATCTGCACGCATTATTCGCCGATACATCACACAGTCCTAGACACTTGGGAAGTGTCCGACGTGTGATCCAATACAACAGCAGCAGAGTGTCTGCTGTGGACTCATCTTGTTGTGTTTCAAATAATAATAATAATAATAATAATAATAATAATAATAATAATAATAGTTATTAATAGGAGCAATAACTACTATATGGCTCTGAATACAGAAAAAAACTAATTTCTTGTTTCTACCCAAATATTACATATACTTGCTCATTTAAATAAAGGGTTGCACTCTGAAGTAGACTGCAAAATAGGAAAAAAAACTACTTCTCATACATTAGGATATTTTCTCATTGTCACTTTAAGCAGACAAACTGCTATCAAACATAGTCCCAAATGTTCTATTATACTCAATTTGGAAAACACTCAAAACCTAAAATGTGAGGACGTAAGTTTTAGTCGATATGAGAAAAAGGCTGAAGTGATATATACATGGGATTTTGGTTAGATGGTTATAATAGAATTACAGAAAACAATGACATGCTAAGGGACAGAATGTGTATTACCTCCATTATCCGCTCCTCTGCAGTTACTCTTGCTTTTCGTTCCTCCTTTAATTTTAACTGGCACTCTTCATAATCCATCTACCAAAAATGAAAGGTAATCTGTTGATACTTCCACATATATTTAGAAGTTTCAAAATTTGCCAGACAGCGCACCATGCTCTCTAAGATAACAGGGAAAGCTTAGTGATAGAGATCACATGCTGTTAAGTTTTCCAGGGTGTTTGGCCATGTTCTGGAAGCATTCTGTCCTGACATTTCGCCCACATCTATGGCAGACATCCTCAGAGGTTGAGGGGTCTGTTGAAAATTAGGCAAGGGAGGATTATATATCTGTGGAATGTCCAGGGTGGGAGAAAGAACTCTTGTCTGCTTGAGGCAGCTATGAATGTTGCAATTGGCTACCTTGATTAGCACTGAATGGCCTTGCAACTTCAAAGCCTGGCTGTTTCCTGCCTAGGGGAAATCCTTTGTTGGAAAGTGTTAGCTGACTCTGATTGATTCTTGTCTGAATTTCCCCTGCTTTTTGAATTTAATAATAATAATAATAATCTTTATTTATACCCCGCCACCATCTCCAACGGGGACTCCGGGCAGCTCACATGAGGCCAAGCCCAAAAACAAATAAAATAAAATAAAATACAACCTTGTATGAACACCTTTTTTGTGCAAGGTGTTCATACCCTTTTTAAAGACATGTATTTTAGAGGCACTCTGAATACTTAACAATTACACCATGGTTACCTGGTCCAAAAGACCATTGCATTGCATTACATTTGCATTTAATAAAACTTAAGGCAGTTTCCATACCTGTAACTGATGGCATTGTTTTAATTTCATGATTTCTGGAGATTCTTTGGCACCAGGTTCACCTATAACATCTTCTATAGCACCTTCTGTCTCAGTTTCAGATGCAGAAGCACTTTCCACAGTAACTTTCAATGGGATGCCAGCCTGGGCACACAAAATATTCATTATTTAATTTATTAATTTGTAGTCTGCCTTTCTCTCAATGATGCAACTCAAGGCAGCTAACAATGTATTTGAAACAATACAAATAAAAACAATACAAACACATTCATACAATATATCATTAGGTTACAAGTCAATAACTGTATTTGTTACTGAATGGGAAACTTTATGCTAAATTCCCCTAGAATATTTAAGGAAGAATATTTCCAACACAATTATAAACAATTACATCCAAACAGCTCTTCTCAAACCCAATATAAAACTTACATTTTTTTTTACTTCATTGTAGAAGACATATTACCTGGATTTGCAAAGGAAATTCATGGGTCTTCTTCCCAGATGAAGCCCTAAAAATAAATTAAATGGTTGAGAAAAAAAAGGGGGGGGGGGGGGAGAAGATGCCAAGAAGATTCTGCAATACTAGTCCAGCGATTTAATTATGAATATCTCTAAATCAATTGTTCTCAACCTTCCTAATGCTGCAACCCCTTAATACAGTTCCTCAAGTCATGGACCACCAACCATAAAATGATTTTCATTGCTACTTCATAACTATAATTTTGGTACAGTTATGAATTGTAACGTAAATATCTGAAATGTAGGATGTATTTTCATTCACTGAACCAATTGTAACGTAAATATCTGAAATGTAGGATGTATTTTCATTTACTGGACCAAATTTGGCACAAATACCCAATACGCCCAAATCTGAATACTGGTGAGGTTGGGGGAGGGGGTTGATTTTGTGATTTGGGAGTTGTAGTTGTTGGGATTATAGTTCACCTACAATCAAAGAACATTCTGAACTCAACAAATAATGGAATTGAACCAAACTTAGACACAGAACTCCCATGACCAACAGAAAATACTGGAAGGTTTGGTGTGACCTTTGGAGTTGTAGTTCACCTACATCCAGAGAGCACTGTGGACTCAAACGAATCTGGACCAAACTTGGCACAAATACTGAATATGCCCAAATGTGAACACTGGTGGAGTTTAGGAAAATAGACCTTGACACTTGGGGATGTATGCTGGGATTTATAGTTCCTACAATCAAAGAGCATTATGAACACCAACAATCTTGCCACACAGAACTCCCGTGACCAACAGAAAATACTGGAAGGGTTTGGTGGGCATTGACCTTGAGTTTGGGAGTTGTAGTTCACCTACATCCAGAGAGCACTGTGTACTCAAGCAATGATGAATCTGGACCAAACTTGGCACGAATACTAAATATGCCCAAATGTGAACACTGATTGAGTTTGGGGAAAATAGACCTTGACATTTGGGAGTTGTAATTGCTGGGATTTATAGTTCACCTACAATCAAAGTATTTTCTGATGGTCTTTGTCGACCTCTCTGACACTTTCTCCCGAACCCTTGTTGAGAAACACTGCTCTAAGTTATTTACCACTCAGAACTTGTATACATAACATTTCCCAGCCTAAAATCTCACATTTCCCATTCTTCTGCTTAAGATACTATAACTATAGTGTGGTGCACTTTCTCATTGCTTCAAAGACACATTACCTGTAATGCTTTGCACGTTCAGCAGTACGCCAAGGCAGGAATCCATGTGCCCCTGGAGGCAATGGTTTTGGCGCATAGAGGTCTTGATCAGATGACATTGTCTTGCCAGTACTTGAGGATTTTTTTGTAGCAAATCCTGTATCCATCAAGAAAAGGAGGGAAAAGATATTGTACAGGAGGGGGGAAAAAACAGAAGTTTCAAGATTGAGAAACACGTGAGATTGGGAGTAAAACCCAATTTAAAACCAACACGAGCTATGAATCACCTAAAATGTGCTTCTGAATACACTCAGAGACCATTTCTTTTCTGCAATTTGCATGTCACATTACAAAGCTGATAGATGTTTTGATAATTTGAAAAAATATACTGCCAGAACCATTGATAATTTTCTTCTTGCCTATTTTCTACCACATACCGTCAGCTTCCTAAGTGCTAAAATACTTTCTCAAGTAAGCAAATCGTAAGGATTTCCTTTTCATGTTCATAAGAATTGTAGAATCATAGAATTGAAAGAGACTTCATGGGCCATCCAGTCCAAACCCTTGCCAAGAAGCAGGAAAATCACAAAACATGCAGTAAAGGAAGTAAAAATAACAAAACCAATCAGTTTAAGAGGTATTCAACTATTTATTTTTTTTGTCGTGTCAGGAGCAACCTGAGAAACTGCAAGTCACTTCTGGTGTGAGAGATAAAACCATTATATCAAACCCTAGGAAGAAATATAGTTATATTACAGCCACATAGCATACTTTGCTAAAATATCTATGAAATATCTATTTTCAGCAGAATGTTCATTTGCAACATGTGATTCTTAATGTGTGGTCCTCAATCCCCGCAGGGTGCCATGAAACTCTGTTTGTTTAGGGGTTTTTTTTTTCTTCCATGTCCCTTTGAAAACTGTGTTTAAGTGCATCTTTACAGGAAGAGGGTCCATTACTTTCATCTCAAAGAGATTAAGAACCATAGAATCATAGAACTGGAAGAACTGGAAGAGATGTTGTGGGCCATCCAGTCCAACAGCTTGCCAAGAAGCAGGAAAATTGCATTTAAAGCACCCTCGACAGATGGCCATCCAGCCTCTTTTTAAAAGCCTCCAAGGAAGGAGCCTCCACTGAACTCTGGGGCAGAGAGTTTATTTATTTATTTATTTATTTATTTATTTATTTTCTCAACCCGGGGGGGGGGGGGACTCAGAGCAGCTAACAAAGGCAGCAATTTGATGCCACAATCAATAACACAGTATAAAACCATAAATACATACAGAGTTAAAACAGTAGCAATTAATTATAACCAAATTATCATAACAGTAATTAAAAACATTTTTTTTAAAAGTCATTAAGAGTTCCACTGCTGAACAGCTCTTTCTCACAGTTTGGAAGTTCTTCCTAATGTTCAGGTGGAATCTCCTTTCCTGTAGTTTGAAAATGAGAGGTTGCTTACCTGTAACCGTAGTTTCCCTAGTGATGTGCTGTGAATTCGCACTAATGGTACTCCTGCGCATGCGCAGCATCACTCGGACTCTTCAGTTAAAAATTTAAAAGGAATCGGCGGTTGGCCCCGCGCACGCTCCCCTGTACATTATAAATAGACCGCGGCCGGTCAACCGCCTCCAGATCTCTTCCGCCGCTAATGCAGCCAGAAAGAGGAGGCATGACAAATTGCGGGGAGGATGGGCGGGGCCGTGCGAATTCACAGCACATCACTAGGGAAACTACGGTTACAGGTAAGCAACCTCTCATTTTCCCTACGTGAGTGTGCTGTGAATACGCACTAATGGTAAAAGACTAGCGAGCTACCCACCTTGGACGGCGGGAGTCATGCCACCGCAGAAAAAAGCACTGCACGACCAAACGCTGCGTCCTTCTTGGCCTTCAGATCCAGCTTATAATGTGACACGAACGTCAACGGAGTAGACCAGGTTGCAGCACGACATATGGCATCTAGGGATACGCCCTTCCAAAATGCAGCTGTAGTGGACACTGCTCTCGTAGAGTGACCCCTCACACCAACAGGAAGCTCACGTCCCGAATTTTTGTAGGCCAACCTAATCACAGAAACTATCCATGATGATAGGCGTTGTGACGACACGGGGAGACCACAGGTATCTTTTCTGTATTTCACAAATAGTCTTGGCGTTTTTCTCATATCCTTAGTTCTACTGAGATAAAAAGCCACCGCTCTACGTACATCCAACAAATGGAGACTTCGTTCCATAGGCGAAGTAGGAGCCTGAAAAAAAGCTGGTAAAACAATGTCTTGGGACATGTGGAAGCTTGACGTCACCTTGGGAAGAAAGGTAATGTCCGTGCGGAGCACAACCTTATCTTTGTGGAACCGGAGGTAAGGTTCATCCGACCTAAGCGCACAGATCTCACTAACACGCCTGGCCGATGTTATTGCCACTAAAAAGGAGGTTTTCCAGGAAAGATGCGAAATATCGCAAGTGGCCATGGGCTCATATGGCGAACCTTGAAGGGACGAAAGAACGACCTCCAGACTCCACGAGGGAATAATTGGAGTGACTGCTGGCTTAACATTACCAAACCCCTTAAGGAAAAGCTTAACCAAATATACCGAAAAGAGGGAGGGCAGCCCCTCCTTCCTCCTATACCACGATATGGCCGCCAGGTAACATTTCAGGGAAGATAAAGCCAAACCCGAGTCAGACAATGAAACTAAAAAATCCAAAATATCCGAAATCGGGGCATTTATCGGGTCTAGATTCCTCTCTTTCATATACCGGGAATAACGGGCCCACTTATACACATATGAGCGCTTCGTAGAAGCCTTTTGTGCTGCGTCTAGAATTGCCTTAACTGAGGCAGACAAGGGCACAGAAGATCCTAACTGTCTGGAGCAATCCTCCAAGCAGTCAGTCTCAACATATGGGCATCCGGATAAAGAACCTGCCCGTTCTGTGATGTTAGGAGATCTATTTTGATTGGAAATCGCCTGTACCTCCCCCTGGACATCTCGAGGAGAGTCGAGAACCATGGTTGGCGAGGCCACCATGGCGACACCAGAATACAATCCCCTCTGTCTCTCCGAATCTTTGAGAGAACTTTCGGGAGTAACGGGAATGGGGGAAACGCATACAGGAATCCGGTGTTCCACTTGCGAAGAAATGCATCCCCTAGGCATCCCTTTTCCAGATCCGCCCTCCTGCGGGCGCAATAAAGGGAACACTTTGTGTTCTCCTGTGACGCAAATAGATCTATTGTTGGAAATCCCCAGATCTTGAAGATCATATTGAGTTCCTCGCGATTGATAGACCACTCGTGATTGGACATGGGGGTTCTGCTTAAATTGTCCGCTAGTATGTTCTCCTCCCCTGGGAGGTGAACAGCCACTAGGTGTATCCCTCTGGCTATGCACCACTCCCAGATGCGTATGGTCAGACTTGACAGGATTTGCGACCTCGTTCCCCCCTGTTTGTTTATGTAATACATTGTCGTAGTATTGTCCGTTACCACCTGCACTACCCTGCCCATCAACGCCATCTCGAACGATTTTAGCGCCTTTTCTACGGCGAATAGCTCCAGAACATTTATGTGGTACTCTGACTCCTCTGGAGTCCAAACACCCTGTGCGGTCAAACCCTCGAAATGTGCTCCCCAACCCTTTAGGGAGGAATCCGTCGTAACAACAGCCGACGGATCGGGACTCTGAAATGGCAAGCCCACAGTTACATTGTCCGGCTCCGTCCACCACAACAGAGCGCGCCGTACTTTTTCTGGAATACAAAACCGCACATGGGGGTTGTCCAGACCAGGGCGAAATACGGACAGGAACCAGTTCTGGATGGGCCTTAGACGTAGTCGGGCAAAAGGTGTGACGGCAGTCGTAGATGCCATGTGCCCCAATAAAATCTGGATTCTTTTTGCTGACACCTTCTTTGAGCTTAAAGCACGCGCAACCAATGACTTGAGGGACGTAAAACGGTCCTCCGGCAGAAACGCCTTTTGTTGGATTGAATCCAGGACCGCTCCAATAAACTGGATCTTGCGAACAGGTAGTAGGTGTGATTTCTCCCTGTTTACCACGAGACCTAAAGACTGGAGAAGAGAGAGTATTAGGTCTATATGCAAATGCAAACGTTCCCGTGATTCCGCCACCAAAAGCCAGTCGTCAATGTACGGGTAAACCGTAATGCCCCTAGTTCTAAGGTGAGCAGCAATCACCGCCATGCATTTAGTAAAAACTCTAGGGGCCGTAGTGAGGCCGAAGGGTAAGACATTAAATTTGTAAGCCTTGTCTCCAACCATGAAGGCGAGATACTTTCTATGATGTACAGCTATAGAAATATGGAAATATGCGTCCTTTAAGTCTATGGTGGCGAACCAAATATCTTTATTTAGAAGAGGAAGGATCATAGAAAGAGACACCATTCGAAATTTCTTTGCTTCAATGTACATGTTCACTCCCCTCAAGTCTAAGATAGGACGCAAACCACCCCCCTTCTTGGTTACCAAAAAGTAACGAGAAAAGAAACATYCAGTGAACATAGAAATGTCAACAGGGGAAATTGCTCCTTTTGCTAGGAGAGTTTCAACTTCTTCCAGTAAGGCTGGAGACTCTGGAGTAACCTTTAAACATCCCAACAGGGGCAACGAAGTAAACTCTATAAAATAACCCTCCTCTACTATTTGGAGGACCCACCTATCTGTYGTAATCGCAGCCCATGCTTGAGCRAAAGGCCGAAGTCTATCCTTGAACCAAATATAACTAACAGGCTTAGATAAATCAGATAGACTATCCCTGGGGCAGCGGATATCAAAAACATCAGATTCGTCAAAGACGACGTCTTGTACTACCTGCGGCCTTCGCCTTAGTCTGGTATGGTTGATACCTGGACTTTGCATTATAATTTTGCTTCCGGCCAAATTGGAATTTCGATGAAGCATTCCGATTGCCCTGATTTGAATTATACCCACCAAAGGTCGCTCTATGATAAGTGGGTGGAGTCTGCTGCCAGCGAGGCTTATGAAAGTTACCTGGCTGCCATGGGTAAGGGTATTGGTAAGGATATTTGGCTGCTTGCAAAACCTCCCGTGAGTGTTTAATCTTATCATCCGTTGTTGGGTCAAAAAGACCTTCCTCAGTCATTGGAAGGTCTTCCGCCAACAAACGGCTTT